GGCTGAACAACTCAATTCACTTAAACCCTCGCAGGGGCTGAACTTAAACTCTCGCGGGGGCTGAACAACTTAATTCACTTAAACCCTCGCGAAGGCTGAACAACTCAATTCACTTAAACCCTGGCAGGGGCTGAACTTAAACTCTCGCGGGGGCTGAACAACTCAATTCACTCAAACCCTCGCGGGGGCTGAACAACTCAACACTCAACTCACGAAAAAACCCTCGCCTGGCAGGCCTCAGCGCTCTGCTCTCGGGGGCCGGGCTGCGGTCAAAGCCTTCAGAAACAAAAACCTTCAACCAAAACAAAAACTCAGACATACCCAAACCCTAGTCAGACAACACACAAAGCTTAGAGTTTAGGGTTTGACGGCTTAGTCACACGCACACACCATTGCATGACAACACCTGGTGTCACGAGATACTGTCTTGCCACGAGGCTCTCGGGTGGCATCAGCTAATCAAGGGTGAAGGATTCAGCCAACATCCGGATTCGCAAAGCTTGGAAACCTCCAACCAAATTCTGCAAAGAAGGTCTATGCCTCCGCCGTGGCTGGAATTCACGGCATATTTGACAGGGGCTGCTCTGCTTTGTCAGCTAATCTGGATTGCGGCGATGATTCACAGAATGGCAGACCATATCAAGAGATTGTTGTCTAAAGCTGCAATTTCGAGCCACATGCAAGCGGTGACTGTAAATGGAGTCTGTGCGAAGCACACATATGAGCCGGCGCGTACCTCTCACAGGGTGGTAGCAAGTCCCCATGATCTAGTGTCCACTCAGGGCATGCGATCATCATTTTTGGGCTCCCGCTCATGTTCTATCCGGCCGCGACCATTCCGACCAACTTCGCCGCAAGTTTCGACAGCTCCGCTCTGTGGATGTGTCCTCACTGGTGTCCGTCTCGGCTTCGGCTCTATCATCGCTTTGTAAAGCCATTGATGCCTCTGTCGGCTGATGGCCTGGATCGTCTCTTTTGACACGAATGGACTGGAGTTCACTCTGAAGGGGACAGCACGTCGCTCTGCAGTGCCGAGAAGGCCTGCAAGGATCAATCAGCTGGGTGCATCCCATAACTTTCTCTCCTATATGGGCTAGCTACTTAGCTATCCCAAAAAAGACTGCAGGATCAAGTGCCAACTAAGCATGCAAGGCCGTTGCGACATCACTGCTGCTGAGGTTCGCCCGTAAGGGCAACGCTTATTCAGGCGTAATGGAGTGTGGGGTCATGCAGAAATGCAAACTTATGCATGCTGCCAACCGTACATCTGCTGGTTGCAAGACTATGTGACACATGACATCAGACTTTGATATATCATACTACGTAACTAGTTTATTATATCATGTTCTGACAAAGTAATACATAGCATATTACATCATATTATACTACCTTATATCAAATTACATTATAGTTATCACCAAAAGATCTATTATTACAATATTTGAGGCACTCCGGCCGAGGGATACGACATACGCGGTGCAAACCCAATGTACTGGGTTGACGCACCCTTTTCGTAACCCTCAAAGTAGCCATTAGAATAATCGCTAATAATCGTTCATAGAACCTTGATAATTGACCTTGGAGCAATCCTTTACACTGACCTTGAAGACTCACTCTTAAAAGCAAGACCGGGCTGAGAACAAACAATATTATTCCTCAGGCCCTTCGGCCCTTGTTGTAATCTCTTCAAACGGAGCCCTTAAAAAGAACCCCATTCTGATGATTAAGGCCCCATGATTAATTGGGAGCCACACCTCCTGGAGTTCCTCCAAGGAGCGCAAATTCTGGTCTCTGCGGCTCAAAAAGGGCTGGCGCTTCCGTGCGGCCTTCCTGCGGGTTTCGAAGGTTTGGGGATTTGGGGGTTCAGGGTGGATGTAGAAGGAGTTCGAAAGTCTGGCGCGGTAGGATTTTTGGCTTCGGCTGAGGTGCTGCAACGCTTGATTGAGGTGGAGCGGCTCAGGCCATGGGATTCGGGACTAGACTACTTCGACGCTGGTACGATCAAGAGGGCGGCAGGTCGGGCTCGGGCTTGAGAGCTCAGGTTCATCTGTACTTCGGTTGCAATTGTTCATTGCTGTTTGGATCATTGCCTTGGGAAAAGCAATGCGAAAATGAGGCTTTAGCTACGAATGTGTCTGTTCTGATGGCATTGGAGATGGCTTCAGGCTGGCATTCGTCGTTCAACCATACCCAAACACTTGCAGAGTCAAGTGCAACACCTTCGATGCCACTGTTGGCAGTCTTCTAAGAGTCCTGCGTCGTTCTCAGGACTCACCGCCAGGGAGAGTTGTCGGAAGGAGCGCAATCCCTCTGGATGAACCTTCTGCTTCGCTTTCCAAGCAGGTACCTTGCAGGGAAGGTGAGGTGTCCTCCACAGCCTCCACACACAAAAAGGAGCACGGCAGTCCTGCTGAAGCGAGCCGCGTCATTGCAGCTGAAGCAGAGCTTCTGACCGTCCATTGGACTGCCGGAATCGCAGCCGCACCAGCAAAAGCAAGCTGAAAAGCGGCCTGCGAGATTGTGATTGGCTTGTGTTGGGTTGACACTGGATGTAACTTCTACAGCTGTGCGGAGCTACTCGCCACGTTTCGTTTTCCGACAGTTCCGTACAGTGCCAATCTGAACCTTGGCTACGGGGCATGCGACGTGCGCAATCGAAACGGAATCAATGTCCTTGACATTGTTCATGCCATTCGCATCCAAGCTCGGCGGAGCAAGGCTGGAGAACTCACAGGCGCTGGAAATCTCGCTGCGATGGATGTGGTACGTCCAGCTGCACAAGATGCAGGCCAGCGGCAGGGTGATCAAGATCCTCGCGCTGGCTGGCTGAACTGAATAAACACGTGCAGGCAAACATAATTGGGCAAGCGAACCGATCCCGGCTACAATGTTGAGGGTAAGCATGCATCAAACAGGCCTGGGGAAGAACGCATACGGTATCAGGTGTCCGGCGTCTTGCCCCAAGATATCCTGCAGCAAAATCAAGCACGCGCGCACGCATGCAAGCACAAATACAACCACAAACAAACAAGCAAACAAACACACACAATGTGTCCCAGGTCTCTAGTCAGTTGTGGGGAATCGGATGAATCATTCAACTTCAGGGGAAATCAGACATTCCAAGTAATGCCTTGAACCTAGAACCAGCGCAGCACGTCATCAAGAGACGAATCTACAGAAACACTTGCAAGACAGTCTGAACATGCGCACACAGTTCTGTCGAGTCCACCAGCTATTCGCGACGGTATCCAACTGCAACTCTGCAGGTACCTTTACGCGTCCTTACACTTGCGGGCTTCGTTGGCTGAGGCACAAGCGAAGGACCCTCAGCCCCCTGCTGCATTGTCAGATATGCTGCACAAACTTCGTTACACTCCCTTGGAGACAGGGTTTGACACACACGCACACACAAGATCACGTATTGCCGCATGTGTGCTTGAGCAGGCCGAGCCGGAGTCTGAGAAGCGAAGTGTCAGCAGCACTAGCATTTACAGCAGCAGGAGCACAATTTCGAGTCTTTGGCGGTTTGCGTACTTTAGTCGACAGCGATGGCGACCCCGAAACTGTTCTTTCATCCGGCATTCAAGCTGTAGGCAAGAGACAGCTCTATGTCCTGAAATGCCAGCTCAAGCTTGTGGAACAAACGAGGGCCGGAAGTGATGTCGTTCGGGATGAAGGATCGAACGCTGTGTATGTAATATGCCCCAGCCACCAAAACACCAATAAAAATGGAGAGTGCGACAGATTGAATCCTTCTGCATAAAACAAACTTGGCGAAAGGGCAATTGTACTGCCACTTGACCATGGCAATCCCAAGCCAGCAAATCACGGCAACCATCAGAACCAGCATTGAACACATCCACGTCCTGTGCTTGTATAGCAGCCACAGGATGTGGCTCTTCCTACTTTTTGCTATGAGTTGACATTCTTGCCAAGTTCCCTCATCGACAACAGGGCCAACAGGAGACAAGTGGGGTGCAGAACCCCCTGCAAACTTCTCGATGTGGAGAATCGACTCTGGAGAGATCAAGACTGCGAGCTTGCAAATTTGCTTGTATCTGGCTCTTTCTGTTGGCCGCTGCTCCGGCAAGCGACTGATGTTTTCGAAGAGATCTGGATCTTGGCTCAGCAAGTAAAGGAAATGAGCAACAGCTTCGCCATCACTTCCACAGGCAGCCTCTGCCAGCTCCAGAAACTGTTCCCCGCATTTTCTTCCTTTTGCGATGCGCTCCTTGTATGGTACATATGGCTCTCTTTCACCCCAGATGAAGGAGTACATCGGGGAACCATCGGTATCTGTGCCTGTCCTTCTGTAGACAACATCGTTGAATGCAAGGCCGTCGCTGGCTACGAGTGCCAACATGATGTCGTGTGCATACATCTCGAAATCGCCTTTCTTGACCAAGCAGCCCTCCTTTCCAAGGAGGCCTTTCTTTACCAGCTCAGCAAGGACTTGAAGCTTGCTGCCGCAAATGGGGATGCAGTGATGCGGCAGCCCCATTCGGTCCAACTCGATCTCTGCCAGTTCCTGAAGCAAGGCCTCCTTCGCTTGTAAGTCATCGCCCCGGCTGAACATGCTGCCACAGTTCAGCCACACATACAGAGAGAGGCAGAAGAGACACCCAACAGCGAGCAGGCATGTTGGAAACATCTGACCCAAAAACAGTGGAAAGACCAGCCAGCGTGCAAACCGGAGGCACAAAAGGCCTACCACCAGTGTGATGAGGCTGAGACATGACCACAATCTAATGCCGGCCACCTTGGCATTGTCTTGCTGGCTATCTATATGAAGCTCGTCCCAGAGCGGCCCAATGTCTGTCAGGGCGATGAGTGTTTCTTTCGAGCAGCCTTGCAACTTCTCTTCACGAATCAAATCATGAATTGCAGCAGGATCACATCGCACTACCTCCAGGACCTGAGTTTGCTCCCAAGCACGCTGGCTCGCTTCCGGCACGTGCGTGTGGAAGGGGCAGCTGGCTCTCTGCGCATCTCTCGAATTGTCTGAAATCGCCACTCCCTCTCTAACAATTTCCAGGTTGTGATAGCCCTGCATCTGCGGATGGAAGCAAGCAAGCCCGAAACAACCTGACATGATGTCTTCCACAATGCGCACGACCCTGGTCCAGGAGTTTTTGACGCAGCAGCACTGCACCAGGTGGCCTGCAATGCAATGCGCGAAAAAGACTAACAGGAGTTTCCAAATATCCTCCGTCTCGGAGTTCCTGAAGTGCTTGTCGCAGTAGTCCGGGCTGCAGGTGCTGTCTGTTCTAAGCTTTGCTGCGCTACACTTCTCGCACCTCTGCACAAAGATGTTCTCAGTCAACATGGTTCCGAGCATCTCAACATCTCGGTGGCATGTGTGATATTGAGTTTGCAGCTGGTACACGAGGAATCTGTCGCCACCATTTGCCGTCGCCGCAACTGAATCCCAAAACACTTCCCTGTCCCTGGGATCGTCAATAACCAGCTCAGCACCATGGTCTCTACCACCACTGGGCTGGAGCAAGCTGGCCAAGGAGATAGATGTTCTTAACAAGGTCGTGGTGGTGCTGGTTGTACTGGTTATGGTGGTTGTCGTGCTGGTTGTGCTGGTCATCGTGGTCGTAGTGCTTGTCGTGCTGGTCACGGTGCCAGATGTTGTTCTGCTTGTTGATGTATGGCTTGTAGAAGTAAGGCTTGTCGTTGTGGCGGTCCTGGTGGTGCTCGTGGCAGTGCTGCTCGTTGTGCTGGCAGTGATTGTCGTGACTGTGATGCTGGTCATGGTAACGGTTGAGGTGGACACGGTGGCGGTAGTACTACTTGGCCCAGGGACACCATCAACAATCCCAGACAGCGCTTCTTGAACCTGTTTCACCAGGTCCCACTGTTGTCCCAGCCGCCGCCTCTTTGCGAGAACTTCATAGTCTGGTAACATACGCTGAACCTCGTAGCAATTCTGGTCGCTGGGCTCCCGGTCCACATCGGCTGTTTCACTGTACCTCGGAGTGCGGATAGGAGCAAAGTCACACTGTGCTTGCTCACGACCAACTCAACTCTTGTGCAGCTTTTTAAGGGCAGGACAGCCAGCACTCCGGTTGGCCACGGTTTCCCACGAGATTGAACTTAAATGCACGGCATTGAGGAGCAGCATCCACAACACAACTGTGCACACATTCCTGCTTGGTCATTGGGTGCACCTTCGAGTAGCTCCGCTCCCCTCCGCATTTCCGCGAAGGAGAAGTGTACTCGAAGTCTAGATACCGTGCGAAGGTGTCTGAGGTCTTGCGGGTTGCAGTGTGTGTTGATGTCCGGCTGAGGCTTGATGTACTTGTGGATGTCGCGGTTGTCGAAGTCGTGGTTGTGCTGGTGCATTCCAAATTAAAAGCAGTAGGATCAAGGGCGCATATCCACGGAAGGACTGTGCACTCGCGATCAGATGCAGCGGTGATTGGGATCAAAAGGGCGACGCTGACCACGGCAGTGGCAGAACCATCGAGTGGCTGGCAAGAAGAGAAGTGCAGCACGAAGTGTGGTTGAGTCCGCACCTCGGTCTGCGATCCATTCGCCACCGGTGCACTGACGAGCTGATGGGTCATTGAGGTCATGCGACACCTGGCTTCCATTTGTCCACTCGCCACCGTCAAGTTGTAGCCATCATCCAGCACGGAATATCGAAACCCCGAAGGCCTTTCTTGCGAAATGACGAAGTTTGAGGCCATTAAGCCTGTATCTTTGGGATGCAGCACGCATTCACTCTCCTCTCCACAGAGTCCGTGCGGTTGCAAGTAACCCCCGGTTGCCCAGTCTGCTCTGGCATCTTTGTACCGGAACAGGCTCCTGTTGCAGAAGTCGCAGACCGCAATCAGGAGCAGGACAAGCACAATTCGAGTAGCCCAGAACTCCTGCATGGGAGAACTGGCTTATCGTCGGCACTTCAGATCCAAATAACGGCACCGGAGCAAACCTTTGACGTCTGGCCAAGTTATCGTCAGTTTTCACCCGCCCTTCCACCGACTTGTGGGCGCGCGGCTGGACGCGGGGGCCATGATGCTTGATCAAACGATGATCCTGGATGGCTCAGCGAGTCAAATGGATCTCTGAGTCACAGTTGTCGCTGCGCATAACTATCTCATAAGATGTGTACATGTCTGCACATATATCACCGGCTAACATCGTGCATGCGAACATCGGGATGGCACGTCCGTGGATGATGTGCCAGTGCTGTGACTGTTGAAGCTCGTCTGCAGCACACTTCCACGGGTAGCTTTGCTCACTGAGGATAGTGATGTACTGTTTAGCAACACGGGGCAATCCAAACTTGGGAGGCGCATACCGTTTGGCGCAGAAATTTCTGGTCAAGGACTCCTCGTGCGTGTGATACCCTGAAACGAGTGTGAACCCCCGCCCAACATAGAGAGCAGATCCTAACAAACACAATAGCGACTGAGGTTTCGTGAGCCGAAGCTTGCGCGGCAACTCGGCTTGTGGCATCTTGTGGCCTCTCGTGTCAGATTTCCACTATCGTGGTGGGCTCGTGCTCGTGGATGTCAACTCCAGCCTCCGTGAGGGCCTCAAGCTGGTGGATCCGCTCACGGATCTGCCGGGCTGTGGGGTCTACGAAAAGCAGGCCGTAGGCTGCATCTGCAGTGGCGCAGAGGCTAAGCAACGACGACAGAGTCACCGAGGCCATCGCATAAACGCCGCTGGCACAGAGGTAATACGAGGCATAGTACTGCAACAGAAGGAACACAGGGGCTTCCACAGTCTTCTGTGGCAGCATGATGTCATGTAGTGCATCTGTTGGCTGTCCAAGCGAAGTGGATCTTTCATATTCCAATCTTAGCGACGTCAAACTCGCGATAGAGCGTGTCCCAACAAAAACCAAGAAGCCCAGGCTGAAGAAAGCGTAGTGGTGGAAGACAAGAAAGATGCACAGTGTGTGAAAGTCACTCACTAGGTCCAACATCCACACCAGAACGAACAAATGCAGCTTCATCTGCCGAAGGCGAGTTGCTTTGGACGAGTCCTTGGCAAGAACTATGACATCCAACGGTTGAAACTGCGTCCAATGATTGAGGCTACTGGCTACCGTAGAAATCACGTCTCAGCAAGCAGGCAAGTCGGTCAAGTGCCATAGATTCCTCGATACGACACTCTGCCTATGCCGCCCCACAGTCCTGCAACGTGCGAATAGCCGCTTCATATGTCCTGCCTGCATTGGGTTGGACCCCAAGCCGGGTATATACACAGCATTGAGCCGACAGCAGACCTAGAATTGCTAGGAGAGGCCAGAAGATAATCCAAATCCTGGCGGGCCTGGTGCCCGGTGCCTGGCAGACCGCGGCTGCCTGTGTGCGACAGCTTGTCCGGCGGTACCAAGGCAGGTCTCCGTGACATTGCCAATAGGTTGTCAGGTTGATCTGCTGCGCGATGCAGCAGGGCTGCAGCCAAGAGGGCGCATGCGCCGAGTCGCATCCGATAACGTGAGAGTTGTGGGAATCCTCATGCATGTCATGACCGTACTGTGCCCCAAACTGCTCATCATTGGCCTTGAGCGCCAAGAAGCAGCAAAGCAAGCACGTGAGGCGTAGCAATGCCCCCAAAGCCCTTTTGCTGAGAAACGCATGCCCAGAAGGCAAGAACATCAGCACCGGCAGCACCGGACCCGGCAAAGTCTGCCAGGGACCACCTTGCTCTTTCTGAGCCAAGGATATAATCACCATCGGAGCGAAGGTTCCGAAGATCCAAGGTGTGGTAGACCAAGCGGTGCATGGAACGATGAGCCAGGAAGAAATGTCTAAGAGCAACTGGACATGGGCCCATGTGCCGCCACACTCGGACAGTAGCTCGATGGCGGCTTCTTTGTCCGCCTTTAACTGTGCGCAGAGTGCCGTCGCTGCCGGTGGCATGGCTCAGCACAGTGTCGCTTCGCAAGTGAGGGCATCTGCCAAGCTTGGCCTGGGCCGGAGTCCGCCAAGGACAAATCTTCCACGGCAACACATGACTCAGGCTTCTCTCCCAAAACACGAATGCAAATCTCTCCATGCACACGGTGCATGTCCCATCCTAATTGGGGGCGTGCTCAAGTGCTCAGGCTTTCCAATTTCTCATCCTCTAGAGCAAGATGCCCTCCGAGCGTCGTCCTCCAAGGGAAGGTTGAAATCCGTGGAAGTTCCCTGACTCTACGCGGGCTGAAAAGCTAACGAATTGCTTAGGGGAAGGCTGAACAGACGGCGGCTACGTTTTGCCAACATAGCCACAGAATGCAGAAGAACAGAGATTTGTGACAGCGCCATAGCGAGAGAAACTCCCAAGCCAAGGACCAGCCTGACAGACTGTTGTATGAGAGATCTCCTGTGTGCTACCGTCTCCGTTCTGATCGAGCAGGCATGTCATGTCAGCATCGTGTCAAAATCACTGTCAAAATCGATCCAAACGAAAACAGTTCTGCCATGATCATAGAACCATCCCTCGAAACATAGGTGGCCGGTTGGGCCCGTGCAGTGGCAAGCACTAGATTCCCACCGATGGGTTTTGAGGCTTCGCTTCGGACCGCGACTCGACGAACCTTGAAACGGAAGATTACCTTCACGGACCTACGAGTAGAGGCTCTTTGCACATGTTCACACGGCTGCAGGCGGCAGCCGGAGCCATGTTCAAGAGTGAAACCATCTACGTCCGAAGCAAAGCTGTATTTCGGTTCAAGCTGACAGGCGCCCTCAATTCACCTGACCCGTCATCTGCATGGAAGTGTGCTGTCGGAGCTTGAGCTCCAGCTCTGGATCGTATCCTTAGAATCGGCGAAACACACTTGGAGGATTGCTACACGGTCATGCTGCGACGCCGAATCAACGAAACGAGTCGCGCATTTAGTTTCTCTTCCTTCTGCTGTTCTGCAGTGTGCCGCAAGTTCACCACCAACAACAACAACAACAACAGTGCAAACATGTGCAAAAATCGCAAGCGACTGATTGCTGCAGACCGTCTGCTTCCAGATTGAAGCAGCTATGCCGTCAACACTGCTGAAGCTTGCTTCGCGGGAGCCCGGCACTAAAGGACGCGGTCCCGAAGAGCATCCCACACCCTTCCCGTTCCCCCTACTAGGGCGACAGACATCGACAGAGCGCTCGAATTTGTTCACGTTTACTTGCATCCACTATATGCCTTCAGCGAACTGGTTCCGCCTTGCCTTTGTCCGGTGGCTCATATGTTCTTTGTCCCTATTTTAGTGGCCACCCAGTCTAGGCCCCAGTATCCCCACAGTCTTTCTTCCTTCTTGGTTGCATGTTCGCCCTCTCGGTACTGGAGAACGGTGTTCCTTTTGCATCTGGCGCACACCCTGGCACGACCCTGTGCAGGGGTTCTGTTCTTGGAGCATCGCTTCCTCGGCACTGGCCGCCCTGCTTCGCTTCCGTGGAGCTTGTGGACTATGTATTAACACGTCATACCTGTAGACGTCCTGCAGCAAGCCAGTACCCCGTGGTTGGACGTTGTGGCTTGTTTCTCCCCCAACGGGGGCAATGACGCTTCCGGAGCCCCCCGAGATGTTGATAGGGACGTGGGGGGCAGGCCGCACCCTGTGTGCTGACTCACTGACTCACTGACTTGAGAAGCGGTGACAAAAAAGAAACTGCTATGCTTCGTCGTTCGTCCTGGCAAACCGACAGGAGCAGAAGTTGCGAAGAACATGCTTCAGTCATGGACCTCGCCAGGTACCTGGACGGTTCTTCAGCTTTGGGAGATGAAATTGCTTTGAGGCTTACAGTCTGCAACGCATGAGAGCAACAGCCACGCGTGCTGCTTGCGGGTGAGCCCGCTGTGCTGGTATAGCACACGTTTTTACTTGTTTCAGCTGTGCTTATGCACGATATATGCCGCCAGGGCTTGTTTCTCACAGAGTCTTCGAGACTGCATGTTTCGTGCAGATCATGTCACGCAAAATCTCAGAAAGCTGTAGAGTTTCACTGCAAGTCTGAGACTTGTACCCTCTTCGAAGAGCTTCTTAACCGGAGCGAATGCCCGTTTGAAGCTTCGGTCCTCAGGTCCCAAGCAGGGTCAGCCTGATTCGTCGCAGATACACATGCACCATCATGCACCTATGCCGTGGCTCGTTCTCGCCTGAATTATTTCGCTTTGGTCAGCTGACACGCCTCCTCCTGAGGACCGTGCTTTCCGCAGTGTTTTCAATATGTCGGCAGCCAACGGTGTTGCCGGAACATTCGCCTAACCCGTTGAATATCCACAGCAGCAGAATGGCTTTGGCTGGGGCCACGTTATGGACACCAGAAAAGCAGAAAGAGCTCTAGATGCGTCTTCCAAACACCGAAAAATGCAGTTTGGCCTGGTTCGGATTCCTGGGACCTGTCTCAAGGGGTCCCACATGCATGTTGTTGGCTTGAAGAATGCGTGTAGCCTTGCTTTCCAGCTTCGGGAAATTTTATTCAGAGGCGTTTTGGAGTGGCGGCAAACACATTGCAACATCCAACCGAGCATCGAAAGAATTGTTCAGGGCTGGAAAGATACGTTTGGGCTCGACCCTGCTTCCCGGAAGGTATTTAAGAGTATCTTTTCAACGTTCGGGTGGGGCTGTATTGAGCACCAGATGTGTCGAAACCAGAGCCGAATGTTCTTAGGAGGCCCCGGAACCTGCCCGGCACTTGAACCCAGCCTGCCCCAATGCCTGTTTCGGCTGATGACCCCAAAGTTGCTTGCTGTTGGGGAAAAACTGCAGCACTCAATGCTGGAGAATTACTTTTGCATGGTGGCTTACGTCACCTATGTCGGATGAAAGCCTTCTCCAGCCGCAGAAGCAGCTGCAACATCGGTGCCTCCATCGTACGAGATCGCAGCAAGCCCGAAGGTGCTCTTTCCACTGAACTGCACGGCACTGTCACATTGCTGCTTATGTCATTATTATGCACATTGATGTTTGCTCAGCTTTGTCTACGGGTCCTTAACCAGAACCAGCTCTGCAACCTTGACCAGATTCGGAGTCTACACATCATTCTGGCTCACGGGTTGGATGTGATCCAGCCAAATCGATGCTGTTCAGAATTCTACACAGTATGCATCGGAACGCCGATGATTCTTCGACACGATATGACTCAAGTCCTTTGAAACAGTCACTGTCTGCGACCCCACAACAAGATAGAGCTTACGGCAAGCCTGTTGTTAGGTGACGGCGTCTAACCATGTGCAGAAGCGGCAGGCCTCTCGCAAGTTCGTGCTCAAGATGTCAGGCCTCAGATAGCTCAAACAAGGAGTTCAAATGTCAGCTCAACACGTCAATGTGAATACTGGGTGCTGTGTCTTAAGGTTGTGACTTCTGCAGCGATATCGCATGAAACACATGGATGATGTCCTCAAGTCAAGTCGCATCTTTGCAGACATGCTGCCTCTACAGACGTCATTCGAACTATCTGCTGGAGCGGGCAGCATCCTGGAATGACTCAGTACTTGCTGCTCCATCCATCCACAGTTGAATGCCCAATTTCACAAGCTCCTGTGGCACAAGTCGCTGAACACCGATACAGCCGAAAAACATCAACAAACTTGTCGACGTCACCCTCGAGGCTCCAAGTTTCCAAGTCTCCTTCACAAATCGCTCGGCATTCGCTTGGAGGACATCCATGAAGCCCTGCCGGCAAAAACGACTCTAAGATACTCTAAGCAGTGAGCGAATGCCGTTATGCCGACATATGCCGACATCCCTTTTGCAGCATTGCGCGCTGCTGACGGGTCAGTGAAGTGGAGAACAATACTACACATGCAGCAAGCGATCAGTCGATCTGTCCAGTGACGGCAATGCTGATACGACATCAGGAGCACAGAAAGGTCTTGGTCCTATCGGTCCACGTGGTTTTACATTCCTGGTCAGCACAGAGTTCTCGCATCATGTAAGGCAGAGCAACAGCGTTTCCACCACTCCGACAGAGTGGGCCGATTCGGAGGCGTGATTCTTCAGTGTCTGTGTCTGCTCATGTCTGCTCGTCTTTGTTGGATAGCCGCAGTGTGCTTCGCTCTTGGCTACTCCCTCTTTACCAGGTTTATTACAGAAACACGCCACACAAAACGAGTGGCAGGCGGACGCTGCCCCTCCCCGCTCATGCAAGCTGTGGTCTCTACACTCGTGCCCGCAGTCAATTCATGGGTGATTCAAATCTCCCCATGGAACGTAAGCTCCTCCTGACACAGATACCCATCCTCCACGTCGATTCACCAAGAGCAGTGCTTGTCGTGGGTCGCCACAGCGACAAGCTACTGATAGAGCGGGACCGGCAACGATCGCAATGCGTTTTGTGTCCCTTTCGAGAGCATGCAAATGGAGAGTCTGGTGGGTCTCGGATCTTGGACCACACGCTCCAACTAGATGCCCCAAGCATCTTCGGTTAGCTGCAGGACCCTTATGACTCCGACCTTACAAGTAGATAGGGATTGTCTCCGTGCGGCAACCATTCCAAGCCTGTGCAGCGGTACACTGCATAAGCAATTTGCTTGCAGATCTTCGTGCTGCTGGCACGGCGAGGCTTGCTTCCTGAACAAGTGCCGAATTTTAGGCCATCCCTGCTTCTCGCTTCTCTGTGGGAGACTAAGTGCGCCACGATATGAGAAGGAACTGGCTGCGACTTTGGCGAAGGCACTGACATCAAAGCCTGTTGCATCTATGGTCATGCATTGTCACACACATCCAATGTGTCGTGAAAAGAGGAGCATCACTGCCTCCAGCGCCCCCCTTGTCAGAGTTGGAGCAGCAGCTTGGCAACGCTAAGATGCAGTTGCTTGTTTCTGGGCCCCGAACAGGCGGACCATCTTCTCGACATTTTCAAGGTATGTCTGCCAGTACCCCATCGAGATATCGGATCACGGTCGCATGAGGCAGTACTTCAAGCACCTGTGAAATCGTCGACAA